ATTAAATTGGTACTCATTCCCACTTCTAGTGGTGAAGACCCCGTGCTAATCCTCAGAAAACGACAAAGTCAGGATTTCTTCATCATCTTTCTCTAGAATTGCTGAGGCGGGGTAACACGATTTGCCTTTACCCTTGGACTTCTTTTTGGAAGAGGATCCCGCCCACTATTCATCTTTTAGCAGATCTAGATGGAACAAAAAAAAAATTCCATTAATGGTTGTATGTGGCACAATCCCCTTCTGGCATTGTCCATGAGGATCGTCATTAACGGTGTACATTTCTACATTTGATATAGGCTCTGGCTGAAGCCATGATAGAGGGACAGAACCGAAGCTGATAGAAACTACATTCACACCAACCTTCTTCTCCTTGGGCTACTTTGCAGTGATGATGCTGACGTTAATCAAAGCTTGGATTTTATCCTTGAGGGTGTAGCACATCTTGGTGGGGTGATGGACCCGCCCGTGGAATGCACATTATCTTGGATCCGTCATCCTCTTGCCTTCCTCCGGTCAGTGATTGGAGGCAACTTGATTATTTTGTTCTCTATGAGGTATTTAAAAATTGTAGGAACTTCATCTTCCTTGAAGGAATAATCCTTTAGAAATTTTGGTTTAGAAGTTTTTTGCTGCCTTTGAGGTCACTGCTGCCATTGAGACGGCAACTGCTACAGCATTTATTTCTGCGGTTGCAGTTGGAACATTTGATTTGCGTCTACCGTAATTGTTGGTGCCTTCCCTCTATCACAAGGAATGAAGTTTTACTTTGGAGGATGTGCCGCCGGTTGGCCTCTCTCCGCCTTCTTCCTTTTGAGGAATCTTTTGGTTTGTTCACTGCACACCTTAAACTCTTTCCAAGTTTCGGATGGTGTCACTCCTATGGCTTCCAGCACATCCAAGTAGAGAATATTATGACAAGTCTAGAGGATGAACTCCTCTATGATCAGATCTCAGCAATTCATTGCCTTATTCTGGAAGTGTTTGACGAACTTATCGATTGACTCTCTGTCTTTCTGCTTCTCATCAAAGAGCATTCTGATCAACACTTTAGTGTCATCGTCAAAGAAGTTGGTGAGAAATAGGCTTTTCATGTCGTCCCAGCTGTTGACACTCCCCGACTTAAGATGGCGGTACCAATTGAAAGCGGCCCCATGAAGGGCCCTAACGAATGACCAGACCATCAGAGGTTCATTACCAGAAATCACGCCCAGGTGGGACTTGAAATAAATCAGGTGTAGAGTGGGTGAGCCTTTCCCATCGATTAGCGTAAAGTTAATTAGATTGAACTTCGCTGGATATGGAATTGACCCCTACTCTCTCAGGTATGGACACAAGA